GCCTGCTAGCTCCAAACCATGCCAGCTCAGCTATGTTGGGAAGCCTGCACCACAGCTATGAAACAGACTACCTCTATGGCCACCCTGTCAATAGATGCCTCACTCCTGCCTCTCCCCTCAATTATGTCAATTCCAACTAAGTCTCATGCTATAGGAACTTGAATCATACCAGGGACCCCAGGGGGGAGAGACTCTAGTTTTTAGCTTTCCAGTCTCTGAGCTCAGGGAGGCACTTCAGAAGGAGATTGGTATGGATCCTCAGCAAGCCGACACGTATTTGACACATAAAAGATTTCAAACCATGAAAAAAAAATGAGTGAAACTCATTCAACATCCATGAGCAGACCACCCAGCTTACCAAATATTAAGGTCTGTCATATCTGCTTCAGATTATTTTCAAAGACATCAAATTTAACAGATACACTTGAAAGTTATTTTTACCCCCTTGTCGGGGCGCCTGGGTGGCTCAGTCGGTTAAGCGTCGGACTTCGGCTCAGGTCACGCTCTCACAGTTCGTGAGGTCGAGCCCCGCGCTGACAGCACGGAGCCTGGAGCCTGCTTCAGATTCTATGTCTCCCTCTCTCTCTGCCCCTTCCCTGCTCATGCTCTGTCTCTCTCTGTCTCAAAAATAAATAAACATTAAAAAAAATTTTTTTAAGTTATTTTTACCCCCTTGTAGATTTCATTCCCTTCCCCAGTGGTAATCACTATTTCGAATCTTCACTTATTTTATCGATGCGTGCCAAGAAGATATGTCAAGAATACACAACGTACAAGCGTGACTAGTATTTCCAATGGCAAATTTCCATTCTTTCCTGGCAAACAAATATTTTTATGTGTAGGTAGCCCCTGTGATGGGCACCTTCTTTTGGTCTCCCGGTGGATAGACATTAGCTCTCCTCCAAGAAGAGGAAATTTGGGGGAAAGATCTTTCCATTTCTTCAGCTATGTCATTTCTCCCAGGACATGTGCTTCACTGCCCTTAGACCACAAAGGGGCGGCTGCCTCTGCCCAACACTGACTGAGGTGAATGGGCCTCATTCACTATCCCCAGGTATCACCTCCCTGGGCCTGCCAAGAGAGTGAAGTGAATACATCCAGGAACCCATGAAGGGTGCAGCAGTTCTAGACTGAAGGGGTTTAAATACCTACAGAGTTGGGATTTACTAGGACATGTGTCTGGGAGAGCGCCTTCACTCTGGGCCAACAAGGCCTCCGTGAAAATACTTAAACTCAAACTCTCACCAACCACAAGAATCCTTTTTTTTTTTTTTTTCCTGAATCTTCCCTACGCACAAAAGATTTCTATTTTCCCATTAATATCATTTTGGCTTTGTTTCTTGCAAACGGATGCCCTGACGTTATTAGGCACAGACGGCATTCACACTTTCCCTGACCAGAGTTACTTCACAAGGGAGAACCTCAAATCCAAGTTACTTCTCCAATTCTGAGAGAAAGAGGGAAGACAGGTGGATGGAATGGGAAGGAAAAATCTCAGTGCCCGTACATTTCGCAAACACATCAACAACCTAGGCAAGAGGATGAACTACCTTATACTCGAGATATATCAAAATATATCAAGATATTTTTCCAATATGTGAATCACAGGGGTCTCTCCCCCTGTTTTTCCTTCTTTTCCAGTATAATTCTATAAAACATGTTGTGTCAAGTGACAACTCCCAACAGTGGATGATAGCGTATTTCTGTCAATAGGGAGCTGTTATAGTATGGTCATGCTATACGGAACTGGAGATATGATTCTAATTGCCCCATTTTTCTTTTACTTTCTTTTGTTCGATGACATACTTATCTCCCCAGATCTGGTTTCTGTGTGGAAGGAACTGAAATTAGGCTGGAGAGCGGTTTTCTCTACGTTTCTTTCTACCTTATCTTTGGAAGGGGCAATGGTTTGTCTACAAAAATTTGTTGTAGCATTATTAAATTTTAGAAGCCAAGACCTACTATCTAATATGCATCACTTCTTTTCAGAGCTACTTTATTCTTGAGAGCAAACAAAGAGAGAGAGAGAGAGGGAGAGAGAGTGTGTGTGCGTGTGTGTGTGCGAGAGCTGACCTAGGTCCCTGGCTAGCTTACAAAACCTAAGTGATTTTTGTTTTCTTAATTTAAAAGATGGCAAAATGATTTTTCTTTTTTTAATTTAAAGGGAGGTGATTCATCTGAACATTGTCAGCAAATAAATGGTCACGGGCCACGTACCAAGAACTTCCTGAGAGTTGGGGAAATTCACTAGATAAGCACACAGATGGCAGAAGAAGACACAATCGACTGAACCCTGGCTCTTAAACGAAATAGATATGTAATTTGGGCACAACATTTTACCCCTGGGATTCTATTTTCTTATCTGTAAAAGGGGCTAAGAATGGGTCATCACACATTTGTGAGGATCAGGTGATATAGATTTAGGATACACCTGGAACCTGGTATTCATTCATTCATTCATTCATTCATTCATTCTATGCAACCTCCTACTACCTACCTTTCTGAAGATATAGTTTGAAGAAAAATCTTACACTAATGCCTACAATGACTCATTTTAATCTTTTGAGGAAATGACTGATAAAAATAAATTGCCACATGGGGCGCCTGGGTGGTGAAGTCGTGTTGTTGTCCGACTTCGGCCAGGCCACGCATCTCATGGGTCTCGCGGAGTCTGGTGCCTGGCCGGGTTTCTGGGCTGATTGCCTGGAGCCTGGGAGCCTACTCCCACTCTAGGTCTCCTCTCTGCCCCTCCCCTGCCATGCTCTGTCTCTCTCTGTCCCAAAAATAAATAAACGTTGAAAAAAAAAATTAAAAAAAAAAAAAATAAAAATAAAATAAAAAAAAAATTGCCACAGAAATACAGGACACAGAAATTTTAACTCCCTTTACCACTACTGTGGGAATAGATGTCTATTATAGTTGGCCAGAGAAACACTCACAAAATATTCAAAAGCCTGTGAACAAGCCTGTGAAGTATTATTTTAAATGTTCCATTACCAACTTCTAATCAGCTTCCAATATCGGAACAAGAAAAGAAAAAAAAAGAAATCTTCTCAAATCATAAACATTGGCCCAAAGACCCCCAATATTGAAAGAAAGTACAGACGCCAAGTTTTAGGGACATCTTTTCCCACTGACTTCAATTCAGGGAATAATTTAGTATTTGTCCCTTAAATTTGGTTTCAGTACATTCTATTTCTTTTTTTTTTTTAATTTTTTTTAATGTTTATTTTATTTTGAGACAGAGGAAACAGAGCCGGTGGGGGAGGGCAGAGAGAGGAGGGAGACACAGACCTGGCCCAGGCCTGAGCTGGCTCAAAGCACAGAGCCCCGATGGGGCTCCGAACCCACGAATCGCGGGAGAGATCATGAATCTCGAGTCAAGTCGGACGCTTTAACTGACTGAGCCACCAGGTGCCTCAGGCACTCATGTCAGCCACCTTGTGTTTAAGACTGATGAAGCTCAAATAACCATCAATAGTGGAGCAGTTAAATAAATTATAGTAGGACAGTCACACACCAATAGCGAAAAGGTTATGTGCTAATATGGGCAAGATTCCCCGTGTTGGGTTGCGCTAAAGTGCAAACAGGGTACAGCATGTAGCCTTGTGTAAAAGGTATGAGGTATAAAGAACAGGAACTATATTTTGCTGTATGTATATAAAGCACTGTATGATGTCAGCCGTTCTTTTTTTTTTTTTTTTTTTTCAACGCTTATTTTCCATTTTTGGACAGAGAGACAGAGCATGAACGGGGAGGGGCAGAGAGAGAGGGAGACTGGTCGAAATAGGCTCCAGGCTCCAGCCATCAGCTCAGAGCCTCACGCTGACTCAACTCACGGACCATGCAGATCTTGACCTGGCTGGAAGTCGGACGCTAACCGACTCATGCCACCCAGGCTGTTTCCCCAAGCTGTTCTATTTCCATTATGGAGGAAAAAGATGGTTAGACACAAAATGAGGAGTAACATTTTTAATGCATATATTTTATATCATTTGATTTTTCTTTTGTTTATTTTGAGAGAGAGAGAGAGAGCATGAGCAGGAGGAGAGGGAGGCAGAGAGAGAGAGAGTCCCAAGCAGCCGGATGTAAAACAATTAAACTATTGGGGTGCCTGGGTGGCCTCAGCTCGGGTTGAGGCCCACTTGGCTCAGGTCATGATCTCAAGGGTTTCTGGGTTCGAGTCTCATGGGCTAGCTCTGTGCTGACAGCTAGGAGCCTGAACCGCTTCTCGATTCTGTGTCTCCCCATCTCTCAGCCCCCTCCCCTGCTCATGCCTGTGTCTCTCTGTCTCACAAATAAAGGTTAAAAAAAATTTTTTTTTAACAATTAGGGATCATTTGAATGAAGCTCACCTAAAACTCAAGGAAGCTTAGGCAAAAAAGAGCGTTGGAGGAAGAAAAGGATGGCTACAAAAATGTATCAGCTTTCATCTGTGCTCCTTCAAATCTTTGCTTACACTTCCTCTCCTCTCGTCTCTCCCAGTCTATTAAAAGCGCAATCTGTACCCCCCCCTTCTCCCCATCTGATGCCCTTCATTCAATTTTTTCATTTCATTTCCGTGGCACTTTCTACCAGCCTCCAACACACACACAGTATTTTTTTTTTTTTTAATATCTAATTCCCATTTATTTAAAGTTCTGTCAGTCTGTGTATACGATTTATATTAAAAACACAGGAAGCTGGGGCTCCCGGCAAAAATATACGTTTCGATTTTGGAGATTGTTCAGACACTGAGAAGAGCTGGATCCTCAGCACCGGATCTGGGGGGGCGGTGGGGGGGGGGAGGTCAGGCACAGGGTCTCTCCCTCCACAGCGCTGGCTCAAAGGGAGCACCCCAACCCCAATCCTTGGTCAGCCGAGGGTGGGGGTGGGGGAGGGAAGAGTCTTGTCAGTAGAGAATGAGCCCAGGGCATGGAAGGCGGGGGAAGAAGGACGGGGACCCAGGAAGCCTGGGCTTTCGCCTCAGGTCTTCCCCAACCTTCCTCAGAGACCCTCACCGGCCCCTCGCCCTTCCAGGCCTGTCTCTTTCCTGGAGAAGCAGCCCGGGTGGGCTCTCGGACTTCCTGCTCAGAGGTGGCATCCAAGCTGGGCTTCACCCCTCCTCCGAGGCTCAATACTTCCCCTGGGAGGAGGCGACCGGCCCGGCAAGGTCCCAGGTCACCAGAGGCTGCGTAGGGTAAGTCCAGTGACCAGAGAGCCAAACACAGGAAGGGGAGGGCGGCAGGCCTGTTGGGACCAATGGACGTCACACTGAGGGGGATCAATGTGCCCCTGGCACCTCCCCCAGGAGCGGGTGTTGGGCTGGCTCAGCAGACCCCTGCCCACCAAGGGATCTGGCCCAGCTCTGCCCATCTACCTGTAGAGGCCCCTCTGACCCATCTGGCTCAGGGGAGGGAGGGTAGGGTGAGGAGGGGTGTGGAACCGGGTAAAGTGAGTCAGTGCTCGTGCGTGTGGAGTGGCAGCAATGGGGAGTGTGAGTGGGGGGCATGGGCTTCAGCTGGGCTCCTGGCTGCATCTGGGGCCAGGCCCTGGCACACACAGTATTTTTAACCTACTTGTTTAAGTACGTAGGGAAAAAAAAGAAAAGAAAAAAAGCCTGGGGCACCTGGGTGGCTCAGTCAGTTAAGCATCTGACTCTTGATTTCAGCTCAGGCCATGATCTCCTGGTTGTGAGGGCTCCACGCTGACAGTGTGGGGCCTGCTTGGGATTTTCTGTCTCCCTCTCTCTCTCTCTGCCCTTTTCCTTGCTCGGTCTCTAAGTCTCTCTCTCAAAATAAATAAACATTTAAAAAAATGCTTAAATAAAAAAAAGACAATAAGCAAGCAAGTAAATAATACGCCAGGTGGTTATAAATGCTGTGAATGCCATTCAATGGGGGAGAAACACTCTTTGCAACAAATGGTGCTGGGATACCTCGATAGCCACACGCGAAACAATGACGGTGGATTCCTATGTAACACTATGTGAAAAAGCGAACTCAAGCTAGATCAAAGATTTAAATAATTTAGATTTGAAGAGATGTATCTCAAAATAAATAAACATTTTTTAAGCCCGGCATTTAGTAAATGCTCAATGAATGTTTGTTGACCGAATGAGCTCATTATTATCTCTACAGAAAGTCAGTGCTCTACAGAACCGAACAATAGAGCGTTTTCCCTGCAGTGCTATCCCTGCCGCAGAAGACTGAGAATTTTCCTCACTTGGAATTCACGGTTCTGGACACAAAAACATGATTTGTTAAGCCCTTTGGGAATGGTTCAACCATAGGCAACTTTGTAAATACATTCGACGTGGTATCACGTGCCCCTATGGAAGTGGTGGTGGAACTTTCAAACAGAAACCTGTTCACCTGTTCCCTTCTTTTTCATTCTATTTTCCTTTGTCCCTGTCATCTTCCTTTCCTCTTTCATCTCAACATCTATGGGTGTGGTCATTTACACGGCTTTATTCTTGTCGTGGTTGGAACCTCAACAACATGAAGTCGTAGAAAAGAAGGAGGGTGGGAAATCTGGATGGGCTTGGGGCTGGAGACTGAAGCCTTTCAAGAGAGCAGCCTTTTGCCCAAAAGAATGCAGCAAACTCCAGCTCAATTCCAAAAAGGTACAAGAACAAGAACTGTGACACCATAGCAGCAGAAGTCTAAAAGGAGAGTCATTCTTTTTTTTTTTTTTAAGAGAGTCATTCTTGAGAGGGGAGTGTAGAAAATGTCCTTAATCACCGTTTTCCAAGATGTGTCCCACAGACCACAATTTTCCATAGTTATTAATAGATTTTATGCGAGCAAAGAGGATTCTCTATATTCAAATCAGTTTGGGAAGCACTGAGATAGAGTTTCTTTCACACAAGACTGTCCTGAGCCTTTAAGATTCTACTATATGACGTGAATCTCCGAGAGCGAATTCTCCTTTGCAGCATTTCTCCATCTTTTGTTTGTTTGTTTGTTTGTTTGTTTGGAACCCATTTCTCTGCAGATCATCTTGCAGGACAAATCTTCCATCAAGTGCGTTTTGGGAAAAGATGGAGGGGACTGGCTAGACCTGGCCACGGTCCCAAGTTTTCTGCCAGGCAGATCAAGTCAGAGCCAAAGGACCAAGGTGCCCAATCTCCCATGGAACGGCAGGACAGCAGAGCAGAGGAGCCCTGGCTTGGAAATCAGGGATTCCTGGTGACCAAACCACTTCCTAGTTGGGTCGTTTGGGCAAGTCATCTAATCCTCTGCAATCTTGTGTTTCTTCACCTATGAAATGGGAATAATCATGGCCCCCCCCCCCCCCCCCCCCCCCCCCCCCCCATCAAGCGGTGGTGAGGAATTAAATGGGATACCCTATAGAAAACATTTAGCAGAATGCCTAGCAGAGTGAAATTTCAGCAAAGGAGAACAGTTGTCCAGGAGTTGGGGAAGTTTTCTATTTTCTTACTGTTGAACTTCTTTAGGCTGGCTCACCCTTCATGGTGTAGGGGAATTCTGCAACTCCGTGGACACCTGCGTTTCCAAACCTCTCACTAGCCCTGCGGGTTCTTCAATTGCAGAAATTATTCCAGACCCGACCAGACAAGGACTCAGGCTGCTGCTTCCTCCTCCCCTGCCCTCCCCACCCCTGGCTCTAGCAGGAGAAGCCCAGAAACGGGTCCTGATGTTTCTTCATCGATATGTTTACATTAGCTAAGACTTTTATAGATTCATCGATATGTTTACATTAACTAAGACTTTTATAAATTCTGTAGAGAAAATGCCAAGCTGTAAACACGAACCGTCCTGGGGTGGGCGGGCTTTTAGGCACAACGCTTTGGGGCCACAGGACATTAGGCCGCCTGACGCATCAAGGGACACTTAACGAACAGGAATCAGCAGCACCTCTTTACTACAGGTCAATTCTTACAAACGATAGCTTTCTTAGCCTGGTCTAGAAAATTCTGCATGGGCCATGACAGTAGAATAAAGTATTTGATTTATACTCTTGGTTCGATCTAATTTATCCCAGACTGGCTGGTTCATTTTTAAATGTGTGTTTTATTCAGAAATACTTTCTTGCATATGTTTTTTTGCTCATAATCAGATTGTTTGGAGCTGTCTAATAGGATCCCGGCATATGGCCCTTACCGATTGGCTGCTGCTTGCCGAAAACTTCCAAACATCTTGTCCAAGGCAAACACATGACTTCCTCTTACATTTGCTTGCGACAACTGACTTGAGTGCTTTTTAGAGAAAATCCTTAAAGGTTTCTCCTCTTCTCTAAAAGCGTCTTTATTTCTAGATTTCAAACGTATTTTTTTTTTCATTCTTTTCACCATTTAAATCATGTAAAGTTTCTATGTAGAAAGAAGAAAGAGTCTTATCCAAATTAAATTACTTGGCCAGGAAAAAAAAAAAAAAATCCACCTTGGGACCGAACCCTTCCCAAATGGTATTCATCCCTTCATTGTTCCCTCACTCCACAAATATTTATTGAGTGCTGACTGTTGTAAGACATTACGTAAGATTCTGTGAGTGAAATAGAGATAAATTAGTCACCAGCCCTTTCTCCGGCAGGCCTAGGGGAGACAGGCCTGAGATACAAATGTTGGTAAGGACACTTACAAAGGAGTCATAAAGATGAGAAGAACAGGAGATAAAGTGTCATCCACCTGTGACTCAGCCACAGAAGTTAACTCTTCCTGAGGGAGGATTTGGGCAGGCTGAGCTGTATCCTTTCCAGAATTCTCTCTTTATATCCACGCTTCTTTTAGTCAATGCCTGCCGACGCCCTGACGCTGTGCAATGGTTCAGTTAAAAATTAGAACCACACATCCTAGGGGCCATAATCGACCCTGATGTATACAATATATACAAGAACTTAAAAAAACAAACTAATCTGGGTGTTGATTTTGAATCTAAAAGCTTAAGTTCTTGTTGCCTACATATATTAAGTTAGAAATAGCCCACTTTGGCATCAACGTCTACAAAGGCTTGACCTATGGTGCGAAACGCTAAGAACTTAATTCCCTTAACACTGATAAAGGACTGAAGGAAGGCCAGCAGGGCACATAGAAAATGCCCCTGCACAGACGAGAAGCCCCAGGAGTAGCAGATAACAACTCAGGCAGAAAATGTGTGCAAACAGATGCCCTCCAACACAGCACTGGCAAGAAAGAAACTCGGAGAACATTAGTCACTTCCTCACCGGAGGAGCGGGAAGGCCGGCGTCAGCCTGCTGGTGAACAGCAGAATTTAAAATAACCCTACTAAATTAGAGAAGTGGTCAGCATGCTTTTTTAAGTTCGCTGGAGATAAATGCAGGGTAGTACCTTCAAGAGAGGGAAACGAAGTATACAAATAGAAGGTGAGACGTGACTGGCTGCAGGCGAGGGTGGCTACACAAGGGCCAGCAATGAAAACAGATAAGCGACGGTCAGTCATAGCACCGGCTCTGGAAACACCGCACAGGGTTCATTCAGATGCACCAATACGTGTCCGGCAGAACCGTGAGATCACCCTCCCTTTATACTAGGTATTTGCCAAAACTTCCCCCAGGGCACTGTGTCCGTTCCCGAGTTCCATGGTCAGAGGAACACCAAGAACTTGGGGAACATTCTGTCCCTACATTCAACGGGGCTTAGAAAATGGGACACATGCAAACAAGTGAGAGGCAGAGACGGTTCAGTCTGAAGAAGAGAGAGCCAAGAGATGATTAGACTGGCGTCTTTAACTGGCAAGCTTGTGGACGTGTTTTTTATTCAGCTGTTCTGTTTTCACCAGGGAGCAAACACACTTTTTAAGCTACAGTACAAATATTTGGGTTCAGCGTTAGGAGAATTGTCTCAAATGGGGTTCGAACCGTCCTTTGGACAAATCCCTGCCCGAGTGGAAAGTCTCTGCTTGGGGGAAGGGTTTAGAGACCCGGCTGGGGGCCCTGCTCTTTTTTGTGGCAATTAGCTTGACGCTGAGAGAGATTAGTAGCTGAGAGTTTCTTTTTCTTCTGGTGTTTAAGGCCTTTTGTTTTCACCCCTCTTCCTGGTCTACAGTTTGTAGTAGTCTGTCTCCTCTGTGGTCTAATAATAACGGTCCAGTGGGGGCCCTGATCTGGTGCCCTGCCCCCCGCCGGCCTTCCCTTCCGCCTCTTCCAGAGAATCTCTTCCAGCTCCTCAGCCGACCTCCCTTAGCTCACCTTGCGCTGAAACCCAGGTCCCTCCAAGGACACTTCTTCCTTTGCCCTCACGTTTCTGCCCAGCCCCCATACAGGATAGGGAAGTTGGCTGCCATCTTGCCTCCTATTATCTTGTCTTGCAAATAAAATAAAATAAAATAAATAAAATAAAATAAAAATAAAATAAAATAAA